TTATCCCTGAGTCGGGGTAGGCGTGGCATTTCGTCATGGCATAGGATGGGTTACTCTGGGATATTTCAACTCGAGACAACTGCCATCTTGTTCTATGGTGGACAGAGACATGACCACAATTGTTTCAAAATGAAAATATCTCACCAAAAGCACAGCCACCGCCACGTTTAGTTGAAGTACGCAGCCACGCCTACCGCATCCTAGGGATTTCGAGTGTACGTTCTGCACTGTTAGTGATGTTCAAATGTTAGGAGCACCCTAATAATCATTCTGTTTTCTTCCGCCCTACTTCGTAGCATTAGTTGTTGTTTGACCTGTCATTTCGACGTTCTGTTTATTATCAAAAGATACGGTAAACATCACATAACATTTCATGATGAATGACCATTTGACAGACGTGATTGCTGGTTGTTACGAAGTCAAGAAGAGCAGAACTTGCAGGGAAATCAGTAACTGATAGCACATTAAACATTTTGACAGAAGAACTGGGGACAAAGAACGAATTACCATAGTTCCAGTAACAAATAAATTAACAATAAACGACAATGTGTCACAAACATGTTATCATCGAAGAATTTCAGCCTGTGTCTACATGCGAATGAGTATGGAAGAGGCTTTAGTGGCAGCTACGCTGAATGCTGCTCATTCTTTGGGACGTGGTCGAACTCATGGCGCAATCAGCGTCGGTCGTCAGGCCGATTTTGTGGTGCTTAACGACAATGTCGGGTCATGGAAGCACATCATTTACAGGTAAGAAGATCAGCTAACGCTGAGAATGCGCGATTTCACGGAAATAGCCCAATCGCCCACAGTATCGCGATGAGTAATTTTTCGAAGTCCCCCCCCCACCCTTCTCTTAAGCTTTGAAAAACTCCTCAAACCCCCTCTTCAGTTCATGAATTCCAGTGATGATATGTCCTGTGCCTACTGCAGCCTGCAAGACCAAAATTCCTCTAAACAGTTCTCCTACACTCCATTTTTCCCGAAATGAGAAAGCTCAGTCTTGCCCCCGGTCTCTGCCGCCCGACGGTCTCAGTA